CGTTTCTTGGCCCGAGGGTGATCAAACTCAGAGGCTAAGGTTGTTCAATCTGTATGTTTTGCATTTATTTTCTTATCGTTAATTTCAATATTATTATGTCTTCTTAATTTGTATCAAGTTATATCATGTATCCTTAATATCGCGTACAATTCAATTGTTATCCAATTTTAAGGATAACCAGTTTGGCGCCCACTGTGGGGCTAAAGATAATATTGATTACCTGGTACAAACTTTCATAACACACACTATTTTACACTTGTTCTTTGGAGTATCTTTGATTCTAGGACCAAAATGTCAAACTCTTAGTCAGCACCCCTACACGTTGACAATGATTTCGGCTTCCACGACGAAAATGATAACATAGTATTAGGGAACGTCATACCCCCGGTTGGCCTCGATAGAGTTCCGGCTATAGATCCAATCAACATCAGCTCACATGTAACCATCAATGCAAATTTGGCCGTCGATCCCAAGGGTAGTGTCCGTGGGGATGTTCGGTCAGCCGCTCAAAGCACACATGGCAGCGAAGATAGCAGGATCAGCCTGCGGATGATCTTCGAAATGTTGCAGGCTCAACAAGCAGCGATAGCCCAGCTCTATAACCAAAATCACCCACCGAGTAGGATCGAGCCCGAGCCGTCCCAAGAAGTTGTCCACAGGGTCGAATCAGTTTTAAGGAAATCGAACGAGAAAGAATCGAAGACCAATCCTACAATCATGAAGATACTCGAAGAACTGACAAAATGAATTGAGTCAGGGGAAAAGAAGATTGAGGCAAACGACAAGAAAGTGGAAACTTACAACTCCAGGGTCGATCAAATCCCGGGCATTGCCGATATTGAAGGGTTTGGACTCCAAAAAATTTGTGCAAAAACCTTCCCCCCTAGCGCGGCTTCCAAGATGATTCCCAAGAAGTTCTACATGCTCGAGATTCCTAAATATAATCGAACGACAGATCCGAATGAGCATGCCACCTCTTACACATGTGGTATCAAAGGGAATGATCTAGAGGATGACGATATCGAATCTGTCTTGCTAAAGAAATTCGGAGAGACCCTGTCAAAGGGAGCTATGATTGGTACCAAAATTTACCACCTAATTCTATTGACTCATTTGCTATGCTTTCATATTCTTTCGTAAAGGCACACACTGGGTCCATCAAGGTTGAAACCAGGAAGTCGTACCTTTTCAAGGTAAGACAAAAGGACAACGAAATGCTCAGAGAATTCGTGTCTCGATTCCAAATGGAACGGTTGGACCTGCCACTGGTCGCTGATGATCGGTGTGTTCAAGCTTTCACCCAAGGACTCAATGTTCGAAGCTCAGTGGCTTCATAGCAGTTGAAACAGAATATGATAGAATACCCGGCTGTTACTTGGGCCGATGTGCATAATCGGTATCAATCAAAGATCAGGGTCGAAGATGATCAACTTGGGGATCCTTACGGGTCCGTTTATACTATCATACCTGTCGATAGAATCAAGAGGGATATTGACCAAGAACCGAGGTTGAACAGAGATCGATATCAGCCGTATAATGGAGATCGTAGCAGCGGATCTGGGCGAAATTCAGCATAAAATGAAAAGAGAAGTGATCGAGGCTAGAGCTCTCGAGGGCTCATGAGCAAGAACAACTTTGACAGGCCTATCAGACCTAAAGAAGCACCACAATTATCAGAGTACAACTTTAATGTTGATGCAACTGCCATCGTATCGGCTATCGGATGCATCCACATACCAAATGGTCTCTAACTTTACAAAACGATCCAGCCCAAAGGTATCCCAAACAAATATGAAAATATCATGGCACTCATGGACACAGAACAGAGGATTGTTGACAATTAAGAGAAGAAGTAGCCCGGTTATTCAACAATGGGCACCTTCGGGAATTTTTGAGCGACCGAGCGAAGAATCATTTCAGAAATAGGGATTCTAATAAACAAAACGAGCAAGAAGAACCTCAACATGTCATTCATATGATCATCGCAGGAGTTGATGTTCCTCAAGTTACGATGTTAAAGCGCACCAAAGTATCAATCATAAGGGAAAAACGGACCCCAGATTACATACCAGAAGGAACTTTATCTTTCAACGATGAGGATGCAGAAGGAATCATGTAGCCCCATAATAATGCACTGGTAATATCTATACTCATGAATAAAACTCGAGTTAAACGTGTGTTAATTGATCTAAGTAGCTCCACTAAAATCATTCGATCGAGGGTCGTAGAGCAATTCGACCTACAGGACCAAATCGTGCCTCCAGCCCGAGTGCTAAACGGATTTAACATGGATTGTGAAACTACTAAGGAAGAAATAATGTTACTGGTAAACATAGTCGGAACCACCCAGAAGACGAAGTTTTATGTGATCGAAGGGGACATGAGGTACAACGCCTTATTCGAGAGAATATGGATCCACAACATGAGGGTTGTGCCATTGACCCTTCACCAGGTATTAAAATTTCTATCACCAGAAGGAAATAAGACGATCTACGGGGAGCAACTCACCACAAAGGATATGTTTGCCGTCGATGAAGTAATTCTGATATCAACACTTTTATCAACAAAGGAGCCAGCTCGAAAGCAAAATAGGACGCAAATAGCAATCACCGATGCCAGCTTCGACCCAACCGGACAACCAAGGGACTGACGAAGACGATGATTACGGGGTTTCTCGATCCTTTATAGTTCTCGATAATTCCGGCGCTACCAAATTAATGGTCGAAGAGCTGGAGCAGGTCATACTGATCGAACATCCGCCCGATCAAAAGGTATACATAGGCACGGGGTTAACTCCTGAGCTCAGGAAAAAACTCATTCAATTTCTTATAGCTAACATGGATTGTTTTGATTGATCCCATCTCGATATGACAGGGACCCACCAGAGATCACTATTCACAAGCTGAGCCTGGACCTGAAATTCCATTCGTTTAAGCAAAAAAGGAGACCTCAGTCCGAGATCAATCATGCTTTCATCAAGGATGAGGTAACTAAACTCCTTAAAATAGGGTCCATCCGGGAGGTCAAATATCCGAAATGGTTAGCAAACATAGTAATAGTCCCTAAAAAGGGAACAAACTGAAAATGTGTGTGGATTACAAAGATTTAAATAAGGTATTCCCCAAAGACTCTTTCCCTTTGCCTAACATCGATCTCATGATCGATACCACCGCCAACCACAAGATCCTCAGTTTTCTCGATGCCTACTCCGGGTACAACCAAATACCGATCTCGATGATCAAGAAAAGACCTCCTTTATCACTAAGTATGGCACATACTGTTATAACGTAATTCCATTTTGATTAAAAAATGACGGTTCCACTTACCAACGCCTAGTAAACCGAATGTTCGAAGAACAAATAGGGAAATCCATAGAAGTTTAAATTGAAGATATGTCAGTTAAGTTTCTACGAGCAGAGGACCATTTAAAGCATTTGCAGGAAACCTTCAGTATATTGAAGAAGTACAACATGAAGCTGAATCCAGAAAAGTGCGCGTTCAGAGTCGAATCAGGTAAATTTCTCGGGTTCATGGTGTCCAACCGAGAAATCAAGATCAACCCCGACAAGATCAAAGCTATCGAGGATATCATGGTAGTGGATAATGTGAAGGTCGTACAAAGGCTAACCGGGCGCATTGCTGCCCTAGGGCGATTCATCTTGAGGTCCTCCGATAAGAGCCATCGATTTTTCTCGTTACTGAAGAAGAAAAACAACTTCACATCGACCCTGAAATGACAACGAGCCTTAGAAGAACTTAAGAAATATCTATCAAGCCCGACACTACTTTACACACTGAGGGTAGACGAATGACTATAATTGTACTTGGCATTATCAGAAATAGCGATAAGTGGAGTCCTAGTTCTGGAAGGACAAGGTACGCAATTTCCAATTTATTATGTTAGCAAGATCTTAGGTGAGGTCAAAAATAGATATCCTCACCTAGAAAAATTTGCGTTCGCTTTGCTAAGTGCCTCTAGGAAACTGAAAGCATATTTTCAGTGCCATCCTATATGTGTTGTGACAGCCTACCCATTACGAAATAAAATGCATAAACCCGAACTTTTAGGATAATTGGCTAAATGGACCAAAGAAATCAGTGAGTACAATATCGAATATTAACCCCGGAAAGCCATTAAATCTCAAATTTTGGCATATTTCTTGGCCGACTTTACGCCGGCACTAATACCCGAAGTCGAAACAGAGTTGTTGGTAAACTCAGGGACGTCTTAGAAAATCTATTAGAACTGTGAAATTGACTAACAACGGGACCGAATATAAGGCCATGGTTGCAGGTCTCGAACTGGCCAAAAGCTTGGGGGCGAAAGTGATCGAAGCTAAGTGTGACTCCCTCCTTGTGGTGAACCAAGTTAATGGAATGTTCTAAGTCATAGAAGAACGAATGCAAAGGCACCTAGATAAGTTACATGTAACATCACATCGGTTAAAAGAGTGGACTTTGTAGCACGTACCTCGAGATCAAAATAGTGAGGCCAATGCCCTTGTAAACTTAGGTTCGTTGGTCGAAGACGACGAGCTCAACTCGGGGGCAATCGTACAACTTATGAGGTAAGTAGTAGAAGAAAATCACATCGAAATAAACCCCACAAGCTTAACCTGGTATTGGAGAAATAAGTACGCAGAGTATTTGAAGACCAAGAAACTTCCCTCAGATGCAAAAGAATCGAGGACCTTATGCACAAAGGCCGCCCGATTCAGCTTGTTCGAGGATGGAACCTTGTTCAGAAGAATGTTCGATGTCCCTCTAGCAATATGTCTGGGACCGGGAGATACCGAGTATGTTCTAAGGGAAGTTCACGAGAGCATTTGCGGAAATCATTCAGGAACCGAATCATTGGTTTAAAAGGTGATCAAAGTCGGTTATTATTGGATCGACATGGAAAAAGATGCGAAGGAGTTCGTATGAAAATGTGACAAGTGCCAAAGATATGCTCCGATGATCCACCAACCTGGGGAACTGCTGCATTCGTTCTTATCACCATGGCCTTTCATGAAGCGGGGAATGGACATCGTTTGCCCTCTTCCATGGGAACAAGGTAAGGCTCAGTTTATCTTATTTATAACTGACTATTTTTCTAAGTGGGTTGAAGCACAGGCATACGAGAAGGTCAGAGAGAAGGAAGTCAACGACTTCATTTGGGACCACATCATATGTCGGTTCGGAATGCCATCCGAAATTGTACGTGACAATGGGAAACGATTTATCGATAGCAAAGTGACCAAGTTTCTCAAAGATAATAAGATCAAAAGAATCTTATCATTACCTTATCACCCTAGTGGGAACGGAGAAGCCGAATCAATCAACAAAATCATAATCCAAAACCTTAAGAAAAGGTTAACTGACGGTAAAGGAAAATGGAAGGAGATCCTGCCCGAAGTCCTTTGGGCATATCGCACGACCTCAAAATCCAGTACTGGGGCTACTCCATTCTCATTGGTTTATGGCGTTGAAGCTCTAATACCGGTCAAAGTCAGGGATCCAAGTATCAGATTCCAATATGCAATAAAGGAATCAAATGACGAGGCCATGAATACGATCTTGGAACTATTGGATGCAAGTTATGAAGCTGCCCTTGTTCAATTGGCTGCTCAAAAGCAACAGATCGAGAGATATTACAGTCGAAGGGCCAATCTTCGATACTTCAATATTGGGGACTTAGTAATAAGGAAGGTCAAACTAAACACCTGGAATCCGAATGAAGGAAAGTTGGGTCCAAACTCGGAAGGACCGTACCGAAAAAGGATCCTATAAACTTGGAACGATGAACAGGGAACAACTATCGAGCAATTGGAATGTAACTTGCCAAAAACAATATTATTGCTAAGGTACTACCCATTCGTTTTATTTTATTTTTTGGCTAACACTTGTAGGTGATCGACAAGGAGCGACACAAAGTATTTAGGTCTGAAAGCACGCATTGCACGCTTTTTCCCTTGAACCGATTTTGTCCCAAATGGGTTTTCCGGTAAGGTTTTAATGAGGCAATAGTGGATCGGGCTAACTTAGAATCAAGGACCGATCACGATTGGTGTCAAAGCCGGCATTAACAGTATCCGAGTTTCCTTTACAATCAACCTCGAATACTGGGAGGCATCATCCTCAGATGCCGACGTTAGCAAGGAAAGAAACTTCATATTTGAAAGGTATCGATCGGTAGGATGTATTGTAAGGGCCAAATGGTCAAACGAACCGTGCCCATATAGGTTGATCGAACCCTATCATAAAGCATGTATACATATGATACTATCTTACACAAGAATAAAGAGAAGTCTCTTCCTTGCAATCATCTTATGTTTTAAAATTTTCTTCTTTACATCCCTTAAAGAATTTCATGCTTCCGATCTCCTAAAGGTAACGAGCTCAAGGGACGCCTATAACAGGAGTTCGAATGATCACTCCCTCAGTTAGGGACTATCTTCCAAAAATAAACTCGGGCGGCCCAAGCCACTAGATCTCGGGGGGCATAAGACCTATCAGGTAACCCTCAAATTTTAAAGGTCATAATCATCTCCACTCAGAAACTGTTATCTTGGGCAAGCCCGGGTAATTTGGGAAACTGGGCGACTCCCCGAACTAAAAGGCTATGGCTATATTAACACGGCTCGGAGACGTCCGACACCTGTAACAAATAGGCCTTCAAAAAAGAAAAAATTTCATAACCGGTTCTAAAGGCCACTCCCGTCAAACTATAAACTGAATCACTTACTTTGGGAGAAAGTTTCCGGTAACACCGAACCCCAAAGACGCCTTAAAACAGAGTAATGTAAAGGCGAGGTTTGTTTGAACTTTCGAACATAACCTAAGTTATTTTATGCTAAGGTATTTCGGCCTTTGTGAACACAAGTAATAAAGCAAAAGAAAAATTTTAAAGCCGAAAGGGAAAGAAAGCCTATATATATATATCCAATAATCGTTTTACAAAGGCTAGAATGGCTCGATATAGAAATCTACTACGGTCAAAACAACCTAAAAAGATGCAAAAAACAAAAAAAAGCCTAAGTGGTCTGGTTCTCATAGGAGGCAGCATCACCCTCGGGATCTTCCCCTCCCTCGGACTCTCTTAAGACCTCGGAGTCATTGTCATCCTCAGAATAAGCCAACCTTTTAGCCTCAACTTCGAGCTCTTTGACGTTCTCGATCTCAATCGATAGGTCGAAACTTTGAGCATGGATTTCCTCAAGGGCCTCCCTTAGATATTTCCATTTAGCATGCTCGGTGATGTCTTTTGCTCAACCCTGATCCACCTCGGCATTGGCCTTATAAACGGCCACCACCTCATCAGCATTGATCTTAACTACTTTTACCTCCGATTTGGCCGCTTCAAGCTCCGTGGCCAAATATTTTTGATCAAAGATGGCTGAATTTAGCTGGGACTGAAGCTCCTCCATCTTTTTGGCCTGCGGCAAAGACTTCTCCTTTATACCTCGGAGCTGGACTTCAGCCGAAACCAATTGGGCTCGGGCGGTCTCCTTTTCTGAGGCTAGGCGATCTATGTTCTTTTCCCATTCTTCAGCTTTAGCCTTCACCACATCTATCTCTTCCCGAAGCTGCCCGATCTTGTCTCTGTTAGACCTCCGGGTTTGGACCATTAGTCACCATGTCCAATTCACCATCACTAACTCCAAAAATTCTTCTTACCCACTCAGCCAGGTCAACATAGTCTTTCCGAGACACCTCCAACTTAGCCCGGAGGCCCTTAGCCTCCCCTTATCTTTTCTCACTAAGAAGTTTGTAAGCGTCTCTTTTCTCAGTGATCCCTCGGACCTCGGCCTCATATTGGGTCAGCTCCTCCCACTAGCAGAGGAACATTTCATGGTGGAGTACCGAAGCCTACAAGCACAGGAAAAGGAGTTACAATCATCTACAAAATAATCTAAGTACACACTAGAAATTATTAAAAGGTATCTAGGGTTACCCGATTTAATGCATGTTGGGCTTCATTGAACAAACAGGCACTTCCACCTCGTTCATCTTGGCATGATCCTCATCGGTCACCAAGCACCAAAGATAACTGGCCACTCCAACGGGGGCAGAGAGAACCGGAGCATCGTCCGGGATGGACATAACAATTTACCGCTTCCGGTTAGGATTCAAACTTGGGGCTGGGAACTGATTGACTAATTTTAGGCTCGAGGCAGGTCGACTCGATAGACTCTTCTTCGGCATCGATATATCACCCAACCCGGTGACATCCTCCATAGCGGTAGATTCTACGCCATCAAAGAAGTTGTTAAAGGTGTCTACCACCCTTGTGGATCTTCGGTGGATTGTTCATTCAGTGCCTGAGCATCGGCAATCATAGATTCAGAAAATAATAAAGGCGAACCGATGAGGTATATTACTCCGGGTATGCCTTTAGGAGCATTATCCGTTGTTTGGAAAAAACCGGCCATATTATCGGCCTCCCCATCTCGAGACGGAATGGCTTCACCCCCTTCTGGTTCGGGAGCTTCAGCTAAAGTTCTCCTATTAACCTCCTCAAGTCGAGGCAGTTCAGTTTCAACGCCCGCCGGTTCGAAGGCCTCTCGTATCAAGACACCTGCCCGCACGCGGGCCACCAGCTTGGATTTATCTTCTTCTTCTTCTTCGGAATCATCCCTTATCCGGTGGATTGAGTCCGAGGATAGAGCGCTGATGCGTCCTTGGGTTTATGCATTGGCCTCCTTTTTGGTTTTTTCTTTTTCGAGTTCGGATAACTCGGGGCCCTGTTACTTTTCTTCTCGTCACCCTACCTCGGAGCAGGGGACTCGCGAGGCACATCCTCATCACCGGATGGAGGACTCATAGCAATATCTTTTGGAATACCTACAAAAGAAAATAGAACTGATAAGAATTCGACAACGCAAGGAGAAAGTCAAATATTATTAACTCATAAAAGAAAACTTACCATGATTACAGGCCTTCCACATACCCTTCCACAGTTCCCGCCATGCGCCCTCGGAATATGGTCTCTGTGGCACAAGGTCCTCGACCCACTCCTTAAGTCAAGGAACTGCATCTGGCATCCAAGCCACAACTGCACCACAAAACACCTATAAGAAGGGAGGGAAGGGGCTACACAATAAAAAAAAATCTTTAAGGTGAAGTTATACTTAAGCTTCATGTTCCATTTCTCAGAAAATGGCATGTCCTCGACATGGAGAAAGTCCGAGGTCTTCACTCGAATGAATCAGCCTATTTGGCCTCCATCCTGATCCTCATCCATACCGAGAACGGGGCCATATTAGCCCGACGAGTAAGTTTTATTAATCCTCCCCGATAGTGTCGGGGATTGTACAAACGCATAAGATGATCGAGGGTGAAGAGACACCCCTCGATTTTGCTTACAAAAAAAACGAGAAGAATCTCTATCCTCTAGAAAGAGGGGTGAATTTGACCGAGGGTCACTTCGTACCTCTTGCAGAAGGCAATAATGATCGGGTTTAAGAGACCCAACATAAAGGGGTAAGTGTAAACAATTAAAAAACCCTCCACGTGGGTAGTAATTGCTTCCTCGGGCAAGGGAACCACCACGTGTTTATCAACCCAGTTACAATCCTCTTTGACCTTGGAGAGGAGATCATCGGTGATCGAACATATATATCTCGGGATCGGCTCGCATCGACCCGGTACCGAGGAAGTTTTTTCGATCTTGAAATCAGCACAGGTCGAGCACCCTCTTGGAATGAACTCTTTAGGGTGTGGTTCTGCCGCAGTCCCGTCGCCGGCAGGCCGTGATGAAGAGGCTGTCTCTTTTTCTGGAACATTCTTAGAAGTTTTTGCCATTTTAAAGCAGAGATGAAGAAAAGGAAATTAAGAAGGCACGCTTAGTGGTTGCAAAAGATTCAAGATATTTGGGTACAAAAGTTTGAGAGTGAAGAGATTTTTAAAGAATAAGAGTAGAAGAAGCTTTTGAACATAAAGTTTGAATGAATGAAAGTTGGGATATTTATAGTTTGCTAATGAGCGGTTCAAAACCAGTAGTGGCGGACCAACAATTGACATACATTTAATGCCTTGGAGACTGGACCGACGGGACATTTCAGTTACCTTTTGTCGCTTACATCATGATCTATCGAAGTGAGGTTCGGAAGTTCATATCGTTTCTCGTCATCTTCTCTCCAAAAAACGAGGGGACTATCTGTATACGGTCGAAACCGGGTTCGTCCACTGCACGACCAGCCGAGGCTAAAGCATGACAAGTCAAAGCTCGAGCCTGGGTTATATCGAACCAAAGCGCGAAGTCAAGCCATTAAGCTTGAGACTCTAGGATTGAACAAGATCGAGGGAAATTTGTCGAGCCAAATAACGGAAGGCCAAAATATTCGGGATCGTTCAGAGTTCACGACGAAATTCTCGGCATGTATCAAGGGGAGGCCGATTAATTAGCAAATCATGAGATTGATTACCTTTTATGGAAATGTATCAAGAGTAGGACTCCCCTACTATATAAAGGGAGGTTTGATCATTTGTAAAATACATTGTAAGACGCACAAAGAAAGCAATATATTGATCATTTCTAGTTCTTATCATCTTGTTGTTCAGTTCTAACATTAGTTGAGACGTTTCTTGGCTCGAGGGTGATCAAACTCAGAGGCTAAGGCTGTTCAATTTGTGTGGTTTGCATTTATTTTCTTATCGTTAATTTTAGTATTAATCCGTCCTCTTAATTTGTATCAAGTTATATCACATATCCTTAAAACTGCGTACAAATTCAATTGTTATCCAATTTTAAGGATAAACAGTTAATTTGACAGGAAAAGAAAGAATTT